AAATCAAGGGGCCCTTCAGTATGTCCCGCCAATAGAAAAAAAACATATTTTATGGGATCTTTAAATCATGGCTTTATTAGTACTGTTTTAAAATATTATGTAGATTGCGATGCTTACGTGTTTGGAATTTTCCCCACCACATCCACTCCGTGATTATCCCTGAAGTTGAACGCATAGGAGACGCCACAAGCTATGACGGTCTGTTGGGAAAAGTGCTTTTAACGATTTTTGAATGACATTTAATATTTGCTTTGAACACAAAAGATTAGATTTATGAGACTTTTGTACTTAAGGTTGTGAATTATATGCACTTGAGCAAATATTAACTTATACAGTGTTTGGCATGATAGTTTGTTATAAAAATATACTGGTTGATAATCTTTATCATGTCATATAAAGGAATAACATTAGTAATTCCAGTGTCAGAATAGGTAAAGGTGATGGATACAGTACAGAAATACAGCATCTCACAAAAGTGAGTACACCCGTCACATTTTAGCAAACATTTTAGTATCTACTCAAGGGACAATACTATAGAAATGAAACTTGGATATATTTTAGAGTAGTCAATGTGCTACTTGTATAGCAGTATATATGTACTGTCCTCTGAAAATAACTCAACATACAGCCATTATTGTCAAAATAGCTGGCAACAAAATGGAGTACACCCTAAGTGATAATAGCTGTACGTCATTTAACCAAGCAAACCAATAGCAATCCTATTCATCATGTTCATACTTTTGTCTGCTTGACAGCACAATACAAATTTTTGTATCTTGTATTAGAGCAGTTAAAATGTGTGCTTTGAGTACAATTCTCTCATACTGACCACTGGATGTTCAACATGGCACCTCATGGCAAAGAACTCTCTAAGGATTTGAGAATTAGAATTATTGCTCTCCACAAAGATGGCCTAGGCTATAAGAAGATTGGTAACACCCTGAAACTGAGTTACAGTACAGTGGCCAGGGTCATACAGAGGTTTTCCAAGACGGTTCGACTTGGAAAAGGCCTCGCAAGGGTCAATCAAAGAAGTTGAGTCCTCGTGCTGTGCGACAGATGCAGAAGCTGGCTTCAAAAAACAGACGCATGAGTGCTGCCAGCATTGCTTTAGAGGTTGCAGAAGCGGAAGGCCAGCTTGTCAGTGCTCAGACCATAACCCGCACACTGCAACAAGTCAGTTTGCATGTTCGTCATCCCAGAAGGAAGCCTCTTCTGAAGCTGGCTCACAAGATGGCCCGCAAACAGTTTGCTGAAAACAACCTGTCCAAGAGTGTGAATTACTGGAACATGTCCTGTGGTCTGATAAGACTAAGATGAACTTGTTTGGCTCAGACGGTGTCCAGCATGTGTGGCGACGCCCTGGTGAGGAGGACCAAGAAAATTGTGTCTTGCCTACAGTCAAGCATGGTGGTGGTAACCTCATGGTCTGGTGCTGCATGAGTGCCGCTGGTACTGAGGAGCTGCGCTTCAGTGAGAGAAACATGGATTCCAACATGTACTGTGACATATTGAAGCAGAACATGATGCCCTCCCTTCAGAAACTGGGCCGAACGGCATGATAACGACCCCAAACACACCGCCTTGCTGAGGAAGCTGAAAGTGAAGGTGATGGAGTGGCCAAGTATGTCTCCAGACCTGAACCCTATTGAGCACCTGTGAGTCATCCTGAAGCGGAAGGTGGAGAAGCGCCATGTGTCTAACATCCAGCAGCTCTGTGATTGTCATTATGGAGGAGTGGAAGAGGATCCCCCAGCAACAACCTGTGCAGCTCTGGGGGCTCATGTATCAATCTTGCGTACGCACAAAAACTCCGCGTACGCCAGCTTTCACGCTCACGGTCGGATGTACTAACAGTGAAATTAACGCGAGAATGTGCGTTCCTCCACGCCAATTTCATGTCTGGCGTACGTGCATTCCTCATAGTTTTTGTCCGTTGGCAACTCTTACAGGCAATGAAGTGAAGTTGCAAACATTAGAACAACGAATTGTTCTACAAGTCTATCGCACCACCACCTGTGGGAAGCATTGTTAATGTGCAATTTATAAAAATAATTTACATATATTGTCACACGAGCCTTATGGAAATATTCGATCAATTATGCAATTAAGTAAGAACATATAAAAGCATATGCAAACTATGCAATGGTAAAATCTCTGGTGTACTTTTGGTCAGCTACATTGCATGCATTTGACAATTAAATAGGTAAGCTATATGTACCAAAGTAAAAACAAATGAGAAATTGGTTACCTTCGTGGCAGTCCTGTAGTAAATCCGAGTCTCCCACAGCCGCAGATATTAGCCTACTCCAGAGAGTAAAGTCACCCATAATCGAGGCAACTCTCTGATCAAAGGGTGTAAGTTCATCGACCCCTTTACCACCGCCTGTTCTGCCACACTTTGTCGGTGCGCAGCAGTTCTCCGTTTAACGTCCACCTTTATATCAGACCATTTCTTTTTAAGGTCATTTACAGTACGACTTTCAGATCCCACCATTGACGGCATCAGCCAAACTCTCCCACTCATATTTTTTCCTTTTGTTATTTATTCTGGAGGACAAAGTTCCAAATAAAATATTTTTTCTCGTTTCTACCTCCGATAGTAGCACCTCCAATTCACTTTAAAAGTAAAGTTCCGTTTCTTGCCACTTGCTTTAGACATTTTCTGCTTTCTTTTGCCAAAGTGGACTCATTACCATATTTAAATTGATTTAATTAAGGGAGGAGACTGGGTGGGGTGTTGTGCTCGTGCATGTGCGCTCAATTTTACGGTAATTGGGATGTACAAAGAGAATATGCCTGGGATCCTTCGTACGCAGAGATTCATACATCTGTTTGTTTTTTCTGCGTACTCACATTTACAGCTTTGTCCGTACGCAATGTTTTAGTATGAATTCAACGCAAGTCTTTGAACATGAGGCCCCTGGTGAATGCTCTAGATAACAATGGTGCTCACACAAAATATTGACACTTTGGAAACAGTTTTGACATGTTCACTTAGGGTGTACTCACTTTTGTTGCCAGCCATTTTGACAATAATGACTGTATGTTGAGTAATTTTTTAGAGGACAGTAAATATATACTGCTATACAAGCAGCACATTGACTACTCTAAAATATATCCAAGTTTCATTTCTATAGTATTGTCCCTTGAGTAGATATACTAAAATGTAAGGGGTGTACTCACTTTTGTGAGATACTTTAGGTTCAATCAACTCACCATAATCACTTCTATGGGAATGGGCACTGGTAACTTGGACTTAAATCTGTCGTTGATCTCCTTCACGCCCAACACCATCACCATCACCACAATTGAAGTGACCAGATCATGAATATTTGTGGAAGTGATCTGGGTAAATACACTCTCAAGTGTCTGCAGATAAAACAAATGACACAGATTGTTTTACAGGATTCATTTTTCACAATAGTCTACTTATATGTTAGTTATAGTATACAGTATATGTGTGTGTGTGTATATACGTGTAATATATTCTGTAATATATTCAATACACTGCAAAAAATGATGTTCTTCCTCAGTATTTTTGTCTTGTTTTGGAATATCTAAACATTCTAAAAATCAAGATACATTTACTTGAGAAGCAAAATCACTTAAGATATTAAGTCTTGTTTTCTGGGAAAAAGTGTCAAACTGAAGTGTGTTTTTGCTTAAAACAAGAACAAATATTTACCAATGGGGGTCAGAAAAATCAACTTCATTCAAAGGGGAAACAAGTTTATTTTTCTTACTCCACTAGCAGATATTTTTCTTGTTGTCATGATTCTGCCATCATGTCTCTGTTTTCTCTGGTCTTGTGGCAGGATCATGGCAGACCCATGTTTTATGTACAAGCGCATGGTCTGTTATTTGGACCATGTGCTTGTGTTGTCTCGTCTCGTAACCCCGCCCCCTTGTTATCCTCGTCTTGTGATTAGTGTCTAGTCAGTTTCACCTGTCCTCGTCATTAGTGTTCCCTATTTAATCCCTTTGTATTTGCTGTCCTGTGCGATTCATTATCATACGTTGTGTGATTCTAGCTGTGAGTATCTTGTAGAGAGTCTTGTCTAAAGAAGTGTTTTGTTCCTGTCATAGTTGTTATTTACCGTCTGAGTATTTATCTTTGTCAAGTCGATCCTGTCTTGTTTTGCCCCATCGTGGGTTTTGTTTTCTGTTTTTGTCTAATAAACCCCTGTTTAAGTTATTTGCTGTCTGCAATTGGGTTCATCTGCTATCCACATAACACTTGTCTTAAGCATAAACTCACTTAATTAAAAAAAAATTTGTTTCTGAAGTAAATGTATTTTGATTTAAGAATTTTTAGATATTTTTACTGGACAACAAGATAAAAAATAATAAGGAAGAACATTTTCTGCAGTGTAATATTTTATATATATATATGTGTGTGTGTTTTTTTTCCTGGTAAACCCTACATTATGGGGACAAAATGGATTGTGTAGTGTAGGGGTATAGAATATACAGTTTGTACAGAATAAAAATCTGTACGTCTATGGAAAGTACCCATAAAACATGAAAAGCGTGTGTGTGTTCTTTTAAAATAAACTGTGGGTTTTAGTTCAATATTGTTTTTAACTAGTATTATTTTTGTATTTTAAAAGTGTAGAGGGAAAGCTTTCGTTATGCAAGTTAAGCAAAATGATTGTGACTGTGAGGAGCAGGAAAAGTGTCTTATGACCTACATATATAATTGCAAGTGGTCCGCTGAAACCCGGCACAATCAGTCCTAGTACAAACTTGAGCTGAGAAACCAGGATGTGAACGGCAGCTGCGGTGGTGAATCCTGATATCAGAGTATCCGACAGGTACATGACAATGAAGCCCACCTGCAGCAGACCCATACCAAGCTGGAAATAAAGAGAATGAATATAAGCATCGATGTGATTGAAAATTGCTTTTAAGTTTAACAATGAGTGGATGGCTGATGTACCTGGAACAAACCAACTAGGAAAGTGAGGGAGGCAGACACTAAGATTCTCTGTTCATCTTTCGTCAGGCCCTCAAAGGCAGTGATGTTGGCAGGCGGACCCTCATCGGGCACCAATCTGGTCACTACTGCCCCCACCATGAGACTCAATACAGGGAAAGATCCTGGTGTGAAGAACAACACATTGTGGTGAGTATATTTACAGTATATTAAATGTCATTATAGACAGGCAGAAATGGTTGCCTCTTTTTGATATCTGTCTGATGAAAGTCCATCTATATATTTAGAATGTTTATTACAGTATTATTATTGTTGTTGTATTTCTGTATTTTTGTGGTTTGAACCTGTGAAGCAAAATTTACGATACAATTTTCTTGTTTTTTTGTGTGATTTGAATGCGTTATTCAACCATAATTTTGACAAATACCTTTGAGGATTTCTATCTGTCTCCTTTTAAGCTGCATTTAGCAGAAAATATTTGGCTGGGGATGGACACCGAGTGATCTGACTTCCTGTAGAGATACTTTGGTTGAGCACAATTGTGCCAAATCTAAATTAGAGGCTACAAACTACACAATAAAAATGAATGTTGTTATAGCATTATATTTAAAAAGGGTTTTGCAAGAACTAGACAGATATTGGGGCTATTGCATAGACTTAGCCACTACGTTCAGACTTAGGCCTGGTTTCAAAGACAGGGCTTAGATTAAGCCAAGATAATGCCTTGGTTCAGTTAGAACATTTAAGTTGCTTTTATAAACATGCCTTAGAAAATACATATTTGGTGTGCATCTTGAGACAAAAACAATGGCATTGACATTTAAGATATGTCAGTGCTAGTTGCTTTCAGTTAAAACAGCACAAACATGCATTTTAGTCTGGGACTAGTTTTAAACCTTGTCTGTAAAACCGGTGTATAAATGTTAAGTGTGTCTTAAAGACCCACTCCGATGAAAATAATGTTTTTCTAGGTGTTAACATGTTCTTGTGGCATTTTTCTGATGTTAGAGGAAATATCTTGAGAAAAATCAGCTCAAAGTTGTATTTCTGAGTATTTCTACATTCAAATGGCTGTGAATCAGTAGCAGACACTAAAATGCCGGCTAAAATCGACTGGAGTTGTGACGTAGTAACTCCACTGGGCGTCTCCACACGCGACGTCTTGGAGTGAAATAATGATCGGTGATTGGTGATAACTTTGATTAACTACGGATAATAATAATTAACGTGTATATAATACTGTTGCCCCACCGGTATTGGGTGTGTAAGCTAGCGGGAAAGACAGAGCTCTCAGCAACGGGCAGGGGGAGGGTCGTCTCCGTGCCAACGGCTCCGCCCACAACGCAGAGGCGAATTGCTAATGAGCTACTGCCGCTCTGCTGAAGCGAAGTCCCAGAAAACGGCACAGGTTTTGTGATTTTGGCTAAAAATGGCATAATCATAATTTAAAGACCACTGGGAATGTTTAAAAATAGCTCAAAATATGATCGGAGTGGGACTTTAAGAACTAGTTTGACCAACTAGCAGTTAGGCAAAATGTTCAATACAAATTAGACCCATCTACCTTTTTATGAAACTTAAAAAAAATTAGATGACTGACTTTTAAGACTAGTCTAAGCAGTTTATTCAACCGACGGCCACTGTCAATGACACAATGTTGTTGGCCTCATTCACGTAACCTGCTCACAATAGTACTCACCCACTGAAATGTGTCGTGAGGTGCCCAGGAAAAAATAGAGGATGACTGGGAAAAAAGCAGCATACAATCCATACCAGGTAGAGATGGATGCCAGCAAACTGAAGGCTAGACCTGAGGGGAAAATATTGAAAAGTAGGCTATTAACCAAACCCTGGTAGCATAGTTATATAATATTTATCTGATCTGTGGATGCCCTCAGTCAACTATTATCCCTCTTATCAACACCCCATTCACTAAGTTCAACTCTTCTGTTATTAATTTTTTTGAAGTGTGTGGATGACATAAGCAAAAGCACTTCAGATTGTTGTTAGATGGTTGGAAAGGACATGTCAGGCTCTTGATAACCTCAGTAATTGAGATGAATTAAAAAAAGAGCAATGTACTAGCTATACATATCTTAAACACACTTCCTTTGCTCAATATGTACTTCTTTTCTGGATTATCTTCTAATGACATTTATCATTTTACCCACGGATCGCAGATAAAGGCACTTTTCACTAATTTTGACACATTTCATATCACGTCATATCAGAGTTATCCCATAATTCAACTGCGTAGACACTCACATCAGTCACAAGCAACCACTAAATCAGTCACAGACCACAGTTCATAAAGATAACCTACATTCTTACGGCCTGATATCATATTACATCTAATATCATGAATCTATTTTTAGAGCTTACATTGTGAACGCTCATGTTGCGTAATAAGAGCTTTATAAGATGTTACCTTGTAGGACGGCAACCAGTCCAGTGCTGATGCCAGACACAATGTCATTCAACAGCCATTCTTTGACCGAGTAGATCCTTATCCATCCAATGATAGGCACTAGAGAAACAGCAGCGTTCTTTGCGCGTTCTGAAGTACAACTAGCAAAACAATATGCAAACACCAAGGATGTTATTTGTCTCTTTTTACATGCAATAACATGATATTTAATACATGACACGATGTCATTCAAGTTATCAAAACAATTTTTTCTTTATATATTTTTAAGTGCTATTACTCACTAAAAAAGACTGACAGCTATATCTGCTATATTTTGAACATATCCTAAATGCATTAATGAACATCTGGAAATGCAGTAGTAGTAGTAATAATAATAACAATATGCTTTTAATAAAGTATTAAATATACAAAAAAAGAATAGAAAAAAACCCTAACCTGTTTTATACATTTCTCTGCACTGCTTAATAAATGTTTAAAGTTAAGTAGTGTACTTACGTGAGGTACTGTTTAACATGATCCAGCAATCTCTTGTGTTTCCGATAGACTTTTGCATGTTCATCTTCAAAGCCGTCTTCTGAGTATAGTGGTCTGTTCACCGCATACTTCTGCGTTGAGGGTCGGAGCATTGTGCGCCCGTAGAGCTGGGGGCAAAAATCCTACTGATCTGTGTGTGGTGACCAAATCAAATTAATTCATGAATATCTGCTCCAGCTCTGGCAACCGTCAAGCTGAATCTGTCGCATTTGTATTTATATTGGCAATCATGGAAACGATGTGTAAGACGGAGGTGTTTACACAAACGCACTATGAGTAAACATCACGCAACTACACAGTGTGAGTTCATGTGTCTGTTGATGAGTGTGTAATAGTATACTCCTTGTACGTGAACATATTCATTATAATTAGGCTTTTTGTCAGCAGGTCTGTTGTCATAATCTACAGTATGGATCAGCAGCTTCAAATAACATTAAATCTTTTTGTAACATTAATTCCAGCAATAACAATATCAACAAAATCAATAACTTTGTTTGAAAATTTAGTTTTTAGAATAATAATAATAATACATTTTATTTATAGTGCACTTTACATTTCAACGAAATCTCTTGCTTTTTACCTTTTTTTTTTTATTATATTTTTGTTTACATCATATATAGTTTTTGCCTTCGATGTATGATTTTTGTCCATGGAATTACCACACTTAAATTTATATGCACTGTTTAAACTTTGGGTCAGCTTTTTTTTTTTTTTTAAGAAATGAATACTTTTATTCAGCAAGGATGCATCATTAAATTGATCAAATGTGACAGTAAAGATTTTTACGTTGTAAGAAAAATTATGTAAAATAAATGCTGTTCTTAAGAACTTTCTTTTCATCAAAGAATCCTGAAATAAATGTATCACAGTTTCCACAAAAATACTAAACAAACACTGTTTTCAACATTGATAATAATCAGAAATGTTTAGCAAATCAGCATTTTAGAATGATTTCTGAAGGATTCTGTGACTCTGAAGACTGGAGTAATGGTTGCTGAAAATTCAACTTTATTTATTAGGAATAAATTGCATTTTAAAATACATTAAAATAGAAAATAGTTATTTTCAATTGTAATAATATTTCACAATATTACTGTTTTTACTGTATTTTTGATCAAATAAATGCAGCCTTGGTGAGCAGAAGAGACTTTTTTCAAAAACATCCTTACAGACGCCAAACTTTTGAACAATAGTGTGTTTTTGCATTGTTTTAATCCTACCTGTTCTCAGTTCAGTGGAGTATTAAATATCCCCAAGTTTGCTGTCCCTGTGTTGCTTCAAAAGTTGCGATGGTCTATCTGAGATCTTTAAAACCGTGTCCGTTTATAAATTGCTATACTTATCATGTCTGTAATTATTAACAGTTATCAAGATACCTTCTTCACATTGCCAGCCACATCTTCTCTTATCCCTGACCATTGTTCTTTCTGATAAAAACTTGGCAAAAGCCATCCGCTTATCGATATCTTCCTATCATCCCCTCACCTCATACTGCAAAATCTTTTGATACTGCAAATATAATGTGCGAGAACTATTCGTTTGTTCTTTTTCTATTGTCAAAAAATGTTAATCTAAAAGTTAAAAATTTGTATATCATGTATTGATATTAGAGCCTTTTATTTATAATATATTTATTTATATTTATATTAGTTCTGGTCTTGGATGTCGATTGGTCAAAACAGCATTTCAGTCGTGCCAAACTAATTGATAATATATATTATCAGCTATGACGCCAAAAACACCTGTTCACCTAGTTATTGTGTATATATCCACAGAATGGCGTTCTGTTATTGTTTACATGTCATATCCTGATGCCTAATGAATTCAATGCTGAATGAAAGTACAACTTGTACAGTCTGAAGGTTCATTCTTTGAACGGCAAACTTCCTGTTACCTGAAGGAAGAAGTTCCTTTTTAATGACACATAATTTATTGTAATTCTGAGACTCATTTAGCTTGGGGTTTCATTCTCATGTGATTCTCTGTAAAACATTGCATCATCCTTTTATAAATTCTTTTTAATTCTATCCAAATTCCTTCCATATCTTTAGTTGCGTCACATTCATATATTTATCACTATGCTATTTTTGTTGCTTTAATGGTCTGCATTCAGAACCTTTGGATGCGGGTGTCTTGAGTGCGAGTGTACACTAAAAAATAGTAGTAATTTTAATTAAAAAAGAAAATGCATGAGTAAAAACTTTTTTTATGGCTTGTATAAAATTTAAAACACAATATATTTAATTTGATTTAATTCAAAATATTGTAAAAAAAAAAAAAAAAAAAAAAGGGGGGGGGGGGGGGAGTATAAATTGCCTTATCATTCACATATAACATTTGATTTTCTAAAGAAATATGTAGGCTTTTACGGTATTGTTAAAATGATATATACAGAGCCTCTAAAGGGGCATAGTTATGGAAAAAATATGAGATGGGAGGAAAAAATGTCAATGCTTTTGCGTTCCCTCTAGAAACTTTGCGTTTGCTTTCAAAACATTTGCAAAGCTTCTCGGGGAACGCAAATGCATTTGACATAATTTTTCCTACCATCTCATATTTTTTTTCCATTACCATTTCCCTTTAGTGGCTCCGTATTTTTATAAGTAAAACTTAATAGCCTCCTTGTTCATGTGAGAATTTAAAAGTACCACCTATATTATTATCAGTATATTAACAAACCAGTTTAAATTGCTCAAATAGGTTGGTATTGTCACGTAGGCTATGTTAAGCACACGACGAGGTGAAGAAGAATCCAAAATAAACCATTTTTAATCATGTAATCCAAACAAACACGCAGGAGATTTCAGGAGCAAAACAATAGAACGCTAACCACATAAAACGCAAAAGATAACTGACGAAGAAACTAAAACACGCATGTTAACAAGGAAACTAAATGAACAACAGGTAAACTAAATCAGTATAACCATTCGGCACACACTAGGAAACTAGGTCAACATACAATAACAGGGAAGAGGAACAGAACAGAAGCAAACACAATAAAATAAGACTTTTACAGGTATATTAAACATTATATCATTGAATGACATATACAGTTTGTAAAATACAGTCAACAAAATGTCAAATTATACATTTTCAACCCTTTTTCTTATGGATTAGTTGTGTATGTTTTGCATTATTTCTTCAGAAGTAAATATTTGGTCATCATGTACTAATTAAATTTGTGAATGAGAAGATCCAGCCCTTCTCTTACATGTGAACCTGCAGCTTTTATCATCAAATTAGTTTATGCCTCTCTTTTCTTCAGGTCCAGTAGCTTGCATCAGAACTGGCAGCTCTTTGATATTAGAGGTTTGAGATGTGTCTGCTACACTGAAGACTACATTTTACATGATATTCCAATGTGAGGTCAGGTACAACCACTTTTTATCAGTAAAATGATATGAGTGAGAAGATGTGCTTGATATCTTGGGTTATATTCCAGCTTGGTGATCTACATTGATATGCTTGTTGACCACACACTCTGCAAGCAGTTAAACAGGAAAAATAATTTATACATTTATATATATTTAAAAAAAGAAAACAGTAATATTGTGAAATGTAATAGCAATTTAAACTAACTATTTTCTATTTTGATGTATTTTAAAATGTAATTTATTCCTAATAAATAAAGCAGAATTTTCAGCATCATTACTCCAGTCTTCAGTGTCACATGATATTTCAGAAATCATTCTAATATGATGATTTGCTGCTCAATAAACATTTATTATTATCAATGTTGCAAACCGTTGTACTGCTTAATTTTTATGGATTCTTTGATGAATAGAAGTTTCAAAAGAACAGCGTTTATTATACATAATAAATGTATTTTCTGTCACTTTTAATCATTTTAATTCATCCTTGCTGAGTTTTTTTAAATCATACAGAATTCAGATTTTTTAAACTTAGTATATAATACAGATAAATATAATAATGCATGAGACAGTAACATTTACATTAACATGATTTATATATATATATATATATACACTTTTATACTTAATATAAATTATATTGAATATACATTTTATGTGTTTGTCCTGTTTTAAACGTAATTTTTTTTGTCCTTGTATTGTTATCATTACGTTTTCTATGCGTCATCACTGAGGGTGAAAATTATTTATCAGTACACTAGATTTTTACAGCATAGACTTTACACTTAGAGCCATAATAATTATCAAGGAGATCACTGTGCGATCTTTGTAGATAAGGTGGCAATCCTCACCACAGTAATTAATCAATCTATTTTAACTTTCCATGATGTTAGCCCACGACACACATTACAACATAAGTCTTGCATTAACAATTAAATAGTCATACATTTATTAGGAAAGGTGTGTTAGTGACGTAGAAGCGAACTTTTGATTCTGTGATTTATGCCTTAATTATGTTAGCTTCTCTTAGCCACTTGCTGTTAATCGTTTACTGTGTATTCTCATGTTAAGTTGAATTATACTCAAACACTAATACTAAAGATCATAGAAAAGGAGACACTCAATGTGTAAACGTACCTTACAAAGCCCGAGTCAGTCAGTCAGTGAGTGGTCAGGGATGTGTGTGTTTCAGGCACCCATGTCCTTGTGTGTTTAATGCGCTCAGTTACTGTTACCAAATGTTTAAAGTACACAAAAGACCTCCAGTGCAACACAGGAATGTCAACAGAAATTAAACAAGTGCTTTTTTGTTGAGCTTGTAATTTATTTAATCTTAGGTAAACAGAAAGGTCTATCTATCCCCTTCTGTGTATGTGTGTGGAAAATTCCGAACATTTTGGAGGTGATGGTCTAGACAAGTCAATTTTTTTCATGCATCATGTTCAACACTGTTTGGCAAAATTGGACGTGTGCCATTTAGCCCATGTCTGTTTGCTTTGAGGTCAGAGCAAACAGACATGTTGATAAAATTCACTTTTAGCATTTAAACTTTAATCTTTTTCTTCCAGGAAAATAGACCAACAAAAGTTGATGACTCATCCTGCACTACATATTTTTGTCCAATCAGATGCTCTCTAGAATTAAACTGCCCTCCCCCAAATACCCCCACCTCTGACTTTCACACAGTTATGTAACCTAAAGGCTATTGATTCTTTAAAAAAAAAAGGGATGAGCCCTTCGATATGCTCCACCCCAACTTCTTGTTTTAAGAGGAAATACATCAACACAGGAAGGATTATATTTGACTCGCTCGGTTTGACATTACTCATAATGTGTCACAAACAAACAAAAATAAAATAGTAGATAACAGAGATTTTTTTAAGTTTCTGACCACAGTGACATCCCAAGACCAAATCAGGGTTAGCAGACTAGTAAAGCACACAGAGACACACTCAAATGTTATTTCCCAGGTGATTTATTTATAAATATTAAATGTTCTTCTGCTTCAAGATGTTCAGTGAACAGTTCTTAACAAGAAATATATGTTTGTTATATCAAAAATGGCCTTCTTGATCCTTCAAGGTCCATACTGATGAACAGGCCTCCACTGGATGAACATCCCGTATTGTGCGGATTGGCATTTGCCTCAAAAATAAGGCTGTAAAAATGAAAGCACTTAATGTTTTTTAACATCAGTTATTTTGTTATTTTTCTAGTTCTTCCAGGACAAACGGATCCTGATTCATTATCAGCAAATGAATAGGAAAACGATGACTGTTTCCCAGTGACAGTGGGAGTTTTTTCTCAGTTTGAAAGTCCATGAATAGCCTAGACATGGAAGAGAAACACTTGTTTGGTGGGTTGCTGATTTGAGTTATCTGATAATATAAAAGATCTGGGATGCTCACCAAATGTTGGTTGTCATAGGTCTCAATCAGTTCCTCGTCTTCAGTAAATGGAAGTGGCTCTTTGTCATCTTGCAACTGTAAAATCTTAACAAACAGTGTCTTCAGTATGACATTAACATACTAATCATATTAATTTTACAGTATGTGCACTGTATTGGGAATTTCTATATGCACAGAATACTCAGATGAGCTGCTACACATGTCAAAATGTACACTACTAATCAAAAGTTTGGGGTTGGTAAGATGTATTTTTTTTTTAAGTGTCTTATGCTCTCCAAGGCTGCATGTATCGATCAAAAATACAGTAAAAAACGGTAATATTGTGAAATCTTATTAGAATCTAAAATAACAGTTTTTTTATTTAAATATATTTTAAAATGTAATTTATTCATGTGATTGAAAAGCAACATTTTCTGCTGCTATTACTCCAGTCTGATTTGGTACTCAGAATTTCTTATCAATGTTGAAAACGATGTTGCTGTTTGATATTTTTGTGCAAACTGTGATACAATTTTTTAGCTATTTCCTGTGTGAGACTTTTGAATCATTAGCCATTATAAGTAAATAACTATTAGAACAACAAGGTGCAGTAAATGGAAAACTATTTGCTCTACAAACCTATCATAAATTAAAATGACATGATAACAAATACTGTTACTGTTAATATCAAGCAGCATTAAAGTTTTTGTACAGCTGAAATAACTAGAAGCGGACAACACCGGAAGCCACCCACATTCTTGTTTCAAATGCCTGCACCCTCTCTTACATTTAAAATAAGGTGGATGAACTGACAAGGAATTTACTAGACACCTCCCAAATTTATGTTATCACCAAGTTAGGCCAGAGCCAGCAGTTTCATTATGAGACAATTTACACATAGAACTGCTGTCATGTCGAAGAACTACACTACACTACAACATTCCCCATGTTGCAGACAAGTATTTTTGCAGTGAGAACACAAAATATTCTGTCTATTCAGTCTCCCCTCAAGCTAAAAAAACAAATGAATGCTATTAATTTTACCTTCTCAGCTAATGGATCCTGCTCATTTCCACTGGAGGTTTCCAGCTGGATGAAAAGAATGGCGTCATGGACCGAGAGGAAGAGAAGGTCTCTGGTAACCTCCTCGTCAAAGAAGGACAGGGCCTCCATTCTCCTGACAAGCTCACCTGTGACACGAGGACCCTTTAGGTTATTCACTGTATACAAACCTGCCATTATCAGGCTGGAGTTTGGCACATGTTGTTATTGAGCCAGGCCTTACCATCACAGCCTGCGATATAGACGCTAACCCCAATTCGTATGAATTCCTTTACGACCTGCGAAGATGGGAAATTACTAATTAGCTACTTCTTAAAGGAATACTCACAGCCACAAGGTCAATACAATGTGTTTCAAAACAACATTGGACCCCACTGACTTTCATTGTATGGATGGACATTTGTGTTCTGCAGAAGATAGAAAGTCATACAGCTTTGGAAGGATGTGAGGGTCACCCTCAGATTTTGGCTAAGCATTATTGCAGTAAAACCATGACAGAAAATAGCAGCAAAGATGGCACACCAGTTTGAGGGACTTGGCTGCTACCACGTCCAGGAATGAGACGGCTGAGAAGTCCACAACCAGGCTGTGAATATGGACCCTGGGCACTGACACACCGACAGGCAGCTCAGACCTCCAGTCTACCTGGACCTTCACCTCTGAATCTGACTGAGACGCCCCCTTCTCCAGCTCAGGACCCTGCTCGTTTTCAAAGGCTTTGTTTTCTACTCCCAGTGAGGCCACTGGTATCAAACCATTCTGTGAAGGACAGCAGATATGGGAAAGTCTAGAATGTGGTGTCATGAAATCAGGTCAGTGAAAATAGGCTTTAAATTACAAAGAATTGCTAAAAGTTTTAAACGTGCATGAAACGTACAGTATTGCAAATACTTTGCTGAAAACTGTTGTGCGCAAAGTACCTCTGTAGCTTGTAGTTTTCCTTTTTTAATGAGCTTGTGAATCTTTTTCAAAGCTTTGTTTCTTTTCTTGAACACCCGCACTGCATCAAACCCCACCTGTAAGAATCACAATAAAACTTTACTAAGCGTTAAAGCACACCACACATTTTTCAAACCACAAATCATGTCTTAAACAGTAGTTAATTTAAGATTTTCTGAATTTAGAATTTGAGCAAAAAGTAAACTTACCTCATCTTTCAACTTTTCTTTGAAGTAATCAATATTTGCAAAATAAATAGGTGATTTGCACTTGAAAATCTTAATCCCAGGAATTTCATCAATCTGAAAATTTGGGGAAATACCTTGTTATTTTAGATAACCATAAGCATAAATTGTAGTAAGTAATAAAAAAAAAAGAGCATTTTACATTTTTGTAGTCTTTCATGTTTTTGTAGATATCAGTGTTTGGGACATTTCCAAGGCTGGCACAAGAAGGGCTGAATTAAAACGAGAGAAACCAAGGTCTTATTAAGACTTATGTTTGGCAATTTATTTCCATTATGTAATTGCCGTCTAATTTCTATTTCACAGTAATTATTCTCTAATAATTCTTGAACTTTTGTTAAATATTACAAAACAAGCATTTAGATGGATGCCCTTGTTGTTCACAATATTTAAAATCATAGTTTGAGTTATATCATAAACATCAAGCTGCACTAATTCAGATGAACAGTTGTCACATTTCTCAAGAAATTTACCAAACCCCCTGAAAGAAACAAAATAAAAATAAAAACGGTTGAATTTGCTTTGTCAAATACAATTTTTAACCTTTTTTTTTTTTTTGTACACTGGTTGTGGTTGAGGAGAGACCTCTGGTCCTATTTTAAATCTGAAAAAGTGCGGTAACGCTTCCTTTTACAGTCCTGTTACCCATGTACTTACTATGTACTTATTATAGTAATTATAATTACTGGGTAATAACTAGGTACTAACCCTGAACCTACCCCTAACCCATGTACTTACCTTATATTAGGCAGTACTTTCTAGGTAAATACACTGTAAGTACACGTAAGTACTGTACTGTAAAAGGAAGCGTTACCAAAAGTGCTATATAAATGCTTCATTCATTCATTCAGTACATTAATCTCAAGCACACTTTAATGTCCTTAAAACTTTGCTACTTACAACTGTGTTCTGACCACCACTGTGGCCATCTCAAACACCAGACCAGCCAGTAGGCCCACATCTAAACCCAGCACGATGGATGCCAGGCAAGTAGCTATCCAGATGAGCTGCAGATGAATGAGGATTCACATGCACTCATTTCAGACACAGACAGCTAGTATATAATCTAATTTTATACAAATAAACCAAAATAATTCACATGATTCAATTTGTTGATTAATATAATGACCTCAAAACACAATTAGCTTAGAGAAACTCGTGTACACAGTCATGCATATCTTATGTTTTAAAAAACGTTTTGTTCACTATTTTGCTGGTAGTACTCATTCTGTTCGTTTCATTTATAGTCTTGTGTACTTACACAGTCTGTCCTGTTCTGTCTCCAGAGTACAGGCACTTCAGAGATCTGCATGAACATGCCCTTCAGGTTGGCTATAACAATGGCAGCTAGCACTGACTGCGGGACAGAAAGGGATGAGTTCCGTGATGTATTTTGGCTGTATTCATTTTTTTGTAGTGAAAGACATTGTGAACTGTTCTTTTTTCTATTAAAACATTAGGTTCCTCCACTACACCTTCTGCAGAGGCTGAAGAAAGGGCCCAAGGGCCAAGATCACTATCATCACCATCAGAGCTGAGATGATACCAGCAACCTGCAACAATGAGAAGAGAGAACAGTTAAATCTGGGTAGTAGTACACACACACACACACACACACAACACATTTTACCTGACTCTTCCCCCCTGTGCTTTCCTGTACTGCAGTCCGTGACAGTGCAGTGCTGGCCACAAAGCTTGATAAACATCCTCCGAAAATGTTGCTGACGCCAAAAGCTATCAGCTCCTAATGGGAATAAAGGTAAGCTAGATCAGGTGGTTTATAATCAGTCTGTATAAGTTTGTTAGAATTAAACACCACCAATGGAGGCTTTACCCTTTGGAACAAAGAAAAAAAAAAAAAAAAAAAAATCCTCGATTTGAAGACCAATCACAAATCCGTATGCAAATAAATTTAGAACTGACACCTAATTAGAATCTTTGAGGTTTTGTTTTGTTTACAGTGCTCAAAAAATAAAACTCTATGCTGCACTGCCGAGTTTAGAAATGATATCAGCCGCTGTTGCAAACTCAAATTTGTTCTATTCTGGCAGGTGAAAGTGACCTTAAAAGGCCAACTCGTTCTTTCTGTCTCTCCCTCGCGTTACTGTAATTTCTCCATCTGTGGGAGAGTGTTGGGCTGACCCTTATTTTACTTCACACTCACACAAGCACCTTTGGAAATTTACTTCCCCAGTACTTGTTAATGGCACATTTTATTAAAGAAAGCAGTAGTTCTCAGCTGGTCTTGACATATTCAAAGCAGAAAACGCACAATGGCACAAACCATTTTATGGTTACCACTGTGTGGTTCGTTGCATTTTATGATGTGCTTTTAGCATTGTGGACCCCCTATCCATCAGACAAAAGCATACTTGCAATGTCAGAGACACATTCACACACTATTTTTGTATACCTGGTTGCCATCAACTGTGTAATCATGTTTTGCAGCATAGACTTTTGCCACTGCGACTGCAACTGCATAACCAACCACTGCTGTAGAAAAACTAGAGCCCAAAATATTCCCGATAAGTGCTATATTTGGTGGCTGTGCCGGTGCAAACCTGTGGAGAAACAAGCAGACACATAGTCAGTAGTTAGTTACTATAGATTCACACAACGGTTTTGTATTTCTGCTGTCATCTCTGATTGATGTAGGTTGGATGTAATAATAACCGTTTAATGTTATTATTGGACAAGGCTTTCAAACTGTCTGCCATGTCATTGTTCTGGAGATAACAATTCTGTTGAAAATCTTTACAGGGACAATAATAATAGTATGTCAATATAAAGTGACTGAATGTGCACCCAGCCCTCATCAGGAAGCAGGAAGTGCCACAGGAAGTGCTCTTACCCCCTGGGGAGGCTGTGGACAATGCTGGCGCCGTACTGGGACTTCAGGTCCATCATATGAGAGATTGCACAAGCTATCACTGTCTATCAGATCGAAAGAGTGAAAGGTAATGGTAATCATTATTTAAAAATAAAAAAATCATCAAATGTCCGAGAATACAGGCTTAGTTTGCGGTTTAAGACTTGTATAGGACAATTGTGGGAAAACTGTACATACCACAATCACTTCTATGGGAATCGGCAGTGGGATTTTATGCTGAAATTTTGTGTTGATCTCTTTCACAGCCATAACAATGAAGATTGTTAGTAATCCAGCGATCAGGTCTGCAGTGTTTGTTTGGTTGATGTTCCTACTTACATCAATAAGGGTCTAGATGTGGAGAATTATTTTTAAATAATACAATATAATAATAAAAATATATATATATATTTTATATTTATAATTAATAATAATTATTATTATTGTTATCATCATTATTGAATTAAAATATCATTATATATTTTTTTGACCTAAACTTTATTTAAATTGTGGAAATAAAACATATAGCAAAGCAAAAATTCACTAGTAAAATAATAAAATAAAATAAATCTATTGGAAAAAAAACAAAAATTCATATATATATATTTAAATATGCAAGTTCTTTAAGCTGAGATTGGTGTGTTTGTGATATTAATAAGATATTAAAAATGTAAGAGACTCACATAAGCAAAGGAGAAGAATCCATTATGGTTCTGGGTAGGAACAGACAGGATGGTTTTAATCTGAGATATGAAGACATGAAAGGCAGCAGCAGTGGTGAAGCCGCCTACCAGTGGGTCTGAGAGATACCTGACTAGAAAGCCCACCTGCATCAGCCCCATAGCCACCTGAGAATAAGCAAAACTAATTTGAGTTGCAGCACACCACCTTGATATTAAATGATAATACTGCTGTCTGATTCTTAAGAATACATTTTTACAAAAGTGCAGACATAGCTGTAAGATAAAAACCCTTCCTGCCTCCAATATGCTTGAGATATACAAGTATACTTAAATATTAATGAAATGTGTAAATTGTTTATTTTAGCTGTATCACATTTTTAAATTTTGAATGTTGTGGGTTTACCTGGAATAATCCAACCAGCATTGTCATAGTACAAGCCACCATGATTCTCTGGGCCTCTCTGGACTCTACATCCACCTCCATTAATCTTTCATCTGTCACTGTCTCATTCATAGCTGTTATGTTCACTGAACGCAGAAAGTGCTCATCGGGAACTAAGGTCAAAACTACAGAGCCCACCATCAGACAGGTGACAGGGAATGGACCTAAATGGCGTATAGATGCAAATAAGAGAATGACAAGAAAACGTTGCATACTACTCTTACTATTTATTCTTCTATATGCATAAAATATGCTTACTACATTTGTATACATCAGTGCACACTGGTACAGAATACTGTACCAAACTTGAACTTCCATTATAAATTAACCAAATGTAATATTATATATATGTTTTCTTGAATCAATATTTCATTGAATTTCTAACCATTAAAAAATGTAAAATTACAAGATGCTAACTGCATGCCATTTTTACAGAATAAAACATGCAATTTATCAAGATCACATAATGTAGTAGTAGCTACTGTGTTAAGCATTTAACGCTACATACCGTGGCGTATTGCATTTGCATTAAATGGTAGGTAGTATGCAGTAAGCAGTATAGTAGTACCTGTCCTTTGATACCGCTTGAAAGATTTATGAATAAAGACATAGACCTACCCACAGAGATGTGTCTGGATGTTCCCAGCACAAAGTATGTGAGAATTGGAAAAAACGCAGAGTAGAGTCCATAGACTGGTGCTACAGAGGCCAGCAATGCATAAGCCACACCTGTTCAACAATAGAAAGCAATTACATCTTTAAAGTAGCATCATTGCATTATTAAGTGGTGTTTTGTTCACAGAGTCTATCTTACCTTGTAAACAGCATACTAGACCTGTGGTCACTCCAGCGACAACGTCACTGGGTAACCACTGCTTGACTGGGTATTTAGGAAGCCAATCTAGAATTGGCAGAAGCCCCTTTATCTTCTGAACGGCCCATTTATCAGGGCATCTGTGGAAAATTCAATTAATATCACAATGCAGGTGAAAACACTAGATGTGAGTTCCACATTTACTCACCTGCAGGTTCTGCTCAGCCGTTCTCGCAAACTCTGGATCTCTTGGTCTCGTCTCTCATGGACCTGGTCAAAGACGCGGTTTGAGTAGATACGGCGTGACACGAGGTAATCTTTTTCATGAAAACACTCATCCATCATATTGCCTGATTGTTTATATGTAAATTCTTTTGTGTTGTATTTTATCTGTTAGAGAAATTGAAGTAGATTTATTAGATTTCAGATTCATTTAGATTTGCTGAGGGTTATGCATTCAATTAGTTTGTTTTTCTACCTACCGTCACTTGTTCATTTTATTCATTTCTTTTTGTAGGATGGCTAATCCAGATAAGCAAACACATAGAGGATCTCATCTCTCCTGTGTCAAAACAATCTGATCGAACAGACCAAAAGAGCCCTTCTCCCTTTCTCTGGCAGTATTGCCGTGTTCAGTAGACCAGCTCTTCTAGGTCTGCACTAAGATCACTGAACCCATTGACATTAGAAACCCTTCCAGAAATTGGGGAGGGATCCAATCTCCCACTCTGAATGAGGAGGTTTGTGTCCACCAGTCTTTCCCTCACATTTGAGAACCGTAAGTACGAACACAATGGAAAACCTTATCTTGAAGCCACTTATTCTTAATCAGTTCCACTATAATATCAAACAGTATTGATGGTAAATGAAACCCCACATTTATTTAAGAGTATCTGAATAAACTAATTTCTTGTCCATTATTGTTTATACCGAAATACCTATTTGTATAAGTTGATTACGAAGTCTTACCTGTCAGTTCCACTTTTGAGTTGAGAGTCCACGTCAAATTGAAATCCCACAGTCAAGAAAGGGTGCATCTACTGAATGCCAGACGTCCACTTAAACATACATATTGTCCATGTCTATGAAGTCGGACTCTCTTAATGGGAGCAGCATTCCTTTTTTGGTATTTATAAGCAGAGTTGGGATGTGGGAGGTGTATCAGGGTTAAGCACCAAGAGGAAGCAAAAGGGAATTACATCAGCGGCACACAGCATGCATCCTGCCAAGGTTGACTACTGTCTCTCCCAATCTTGTGTGTCTGTTACGGTAGTAAATGAGTGTGTATTCGTGATAGAAAGGGAGTGAGGGGGGTCTGGGATGTGTCAAAGGTGGGCTGGGTTCTGTGTGGCGGGGAGGGGAGGGGGTACATATGTACATTTCGACCAGTGCAGGTGTGATTGAACACTCAAGAGAGAACAATATGATCTACGCACGACTCGATCTGACCTTATTAGCCTTCTTAGTTAGTACAGAATGTCCAGATATGGCCAGATCTCTCCTCAGAACATGAGCCAGCTCTTTAATACATAGTGTCTGACAATCTGTCAGTAAGCCAGAAATGAGTCAGGTTGATAATTTGTCTTAAAAGTGTTGGTTAGTGAGGACGATTTTAAGCATCAAGCTCTTTTCATATAGGCATAGTACTTTTGTAGTTTCTTAGTACACTTGTGACATAATGATGATTACTACAAAAAAATAAATTCATCTCAACTACATTTTTTTTAATGTTAACTTAAAAGGTTACAGTGAGGCACTTAAAATAGAAATAAATGGAGACCATTTTTAAAAGATTTAAAAGCATAAATGTGAACCTTATAATTTTATAAAAGCACTTATATTAAATCATATAAACTTATGTATTATTTGAGCTGTAAAGATTTTTTTATTATTTTTAGGGTTTTATAGTTTACGGCATTGTGTTGGATATAACTACACTGAAAAGTGTGATTTATTTGTATATTTATCTATTGTGTTTTGTTTTTTCACCATACTAAAATCATTTTAACATGCATATTCTTTACAGTCATTTTGTAGCTTTACTTTTGGAAAAGTGAGTATTTTAACATTTATGGATTTACTTCATTATAAATGCCTCACTATAACCCAGATTTTAGCCTTTTTAAAGAAAATGAGGAACTGAAAATTAATTTTGTGGTAGCCAACATTATGCCACAAATTAGCCTGTCAAATTAGTCAAATTAGCCTAACTTGTACTGAACCCTTAATATTCCTTTAATCTGACTTGCGTGCTTACATATCACGCATTTGGCATGGATGATAAAATGAAGTTGTATTTGATGTCACCTGATGTCTGTACTTGAGACTTGGAGGAAGTGTCTGAACTATAATTTTACATTTTATTCTCTCATGTGTTGTACATGTTGATTTTGCAGTTTTCTCTTATACTGCAAGATCATAGCCTTGAAGAAGAAAAATATGAACATATAACTGATTTTATTTATAAATTATTGCATAGATGGACTTAGATGAATGCTTAACACATTCCCTCTAGTGGTCTTTTCTCTCTCTTTATCATGCTAGAAGATCATGAGTCAAGAAAAATATCTGAATATTTATAGAATACGATGAATGAGCCGATATTGCAGAGTAAAATTTAAGAACTCCCTGTATTAGACTCCTGAACAAACATGCAGTACTAACAGATTCACTCCCACCTGAGCTGCATGAGTGAACCTTGACCAGAGATAGAAGTGCATCCACTCACTACTTTCACACCCACAGAACACTGTAACTTCACATAAGTTAACCCACTCAAACGTCCTATGTACGCAGTGGTGGGGTTAACTTTTGAATCTGTTGACAAAAAAAGAAAAACATGACTTTGTCAAGATTTTCTTCTCCAAGAACAATCAACAGTAGGCCTATACAATACGTTTGTCAATATTTTTTTCCCCTCACAAGTGTATCATTGAATCATTCACTCACTCAATTGATTCGTTGAACAATACTGAGTCGGTCATAATTTGCGTCTACAAATTTACTGAGATTTCGCAGTGTGTAGCCTAGGCTAAGCGTCATCCCAGCAAACATTGGTCCGACGGCAACGTCGTGTCCCTGGCCAAAAATAGTTGCGGCCAGACGTCATAAATCGGTAAAAATATGTAACACAGAACATTTCCTAAAAATGCATTCAGATACATTTGTACATGTCTACAGTGGCATGTATAATTGTTATTTTAACTTATAGCTACGTGTAGTTATGTTTAGTGTATCGGGTGAGAGGACGTCACCTGGCGACGTCTTTTCCACGTGCATTTATAGTCCATCATGACCCTCTATGAAATCCTTGTTAAATATGCAAAAGCTACGCTAATCCTCGCATGGTTAATACTGCAATAATTAATGTAATTGCCCATGAAGTTTTTAACAGGTTGTGAAGACGTCCACTGGCGTCCTTTACACGTCTAGTCAGGCTGTGAATATACTCCACTGACGTCTTTTGCACGTCTAGTCTAGCAAGACAGAAACAAATTATCAGGAATTATAATTCTTTATAAAATACACGATTTATATACAAATGAATATTTACTTTATCTTGTTTTTATAAATTATAATCACAAAATGCCCAGTATAGTCAAGTGATTGCAAAGCCACTGCATTTTAGTCATTATTTTAACCTGTTATATCTTTATGAAATACACAATTTATATACAAAAGAACATATATCTACTTTATCTTGTTTTTATAAATTATAATCACAAAATGCCCAGTATAGTCAAGTGATTGCAAAGCCACTGCATCCCGCGATAGGATAGATTATCTCGCGAGATGTTAACGCGTTCTCATAGATTCTAGAACTTTGAACAACCACGAGGAGAGGATGGAGTTGTGTCGATAGTATTATTAAAAATCTACTGTTTGGTAAGTACATTTTGTATTAGATTAACGTGCTTGAGGTTTACTTGTGTGACATGAATGAACAGAAAGAAATGATGCCCACATTGTCAACTGAAATTTACTGAGTTTGGCTAAAATTAGCCAGTAGGCTAAAAGTAACTTTGAACGTATACAACAACAGTAACGTTATACCAAGTATATTGTTTAATGATACAGTCAAAGTTATTACTGTAACTTATTAATGTAGCCTTTTGAGAGTTTCTTTCAGAAAGTAAATTATCTGAAATGGAATGAAATGTTTAGCTGGATTTTAACATGTATGTTTTCAGTAACTGCTTTAAAAATAAAAGCATAACATATTTTATACAATAAAATAAAATGTAATGCATGTTGATTACCTTTTTCTAATGTTTTATTCATGATTCATTCATCTTGTTCCATGTTTTGTTCTTTTTATTTAGCTGTAGACCAAAAATATTTTGAAAATAAGTGCATATCATTTACCTCAAATTTATAATTTTATTTATATATATTTATATATATATATATATTATATATATATATATATATATATATATATATATATATATATATATATATATATATATATTCTCTTCCCTTAGATGCTGTGAAGAGGTGGAGCCCAAATGCTACAGACTCTGAAACTGATGCAGCAATGGCAGAACACCTGAAACAGGCTCCAGGAACAGCTGGTGGATACAAAAACTGAGCCAAACAATGTGTTTAAAGGGATAGTTCACCCAAAAATGAAAATTGTCATAATTTACTAATAAATTACTATGTTATGCTAAACACAAAGATGTTTGTAACCAAGATGTCGCTTCCCATTAATCTTTCTCAAATAATGGTAGTCAATGGTTGCTCTATTTGCTTGGTTACAAACATTCTTCAAAATATCTTCTTTTGTGTTCAGAAGAAGAAAGAAACTCATACAGGTTTGCAACATGAGGGTGAGTAAATGAAAGAATTTTCATTTTTGGGTGAACTATCCCTTTATATAATAATTCAGTATTTTGTAATTGGTATTTTAGTTTGGTTAACAAATGTTAAACATTGAAAAAATATTAAGAGACATTTTGGCTGTTCAAGATCAATAAAATTTGCTAAATCAGAACATGCTTCTTTTTTTCTTATGTCCACAAATCATGTGTTCTTGTTTGTGATGTACACGTGTTTTATTGACGGTCAGGTCTGACTGGACCAATTTTGGACCTTTTTAGAACCTTTGTCAAGATGTGTAAACCTTAAGACTTGATTGCCTTTCACGATGTTACACAATATGTGTGTGATTATTTTAAATGCAGGCTTATATACACTTAAATTATGCAGCAACACATTTAAACACACAAATGATGACTCATTTAGACGTCCAGGGACGCGCTGAAGAGACGTGGAATTCACGGCCAGAAAAGACGTGGAATTCACGGCCAGAAAAGACGTCGGTTCAACTTTCATTTTGGAACTATTTTTCAACCATGACGGGACGTCTCGGACGGACGTCTTTTCAACGGTCATTACACGTCCTAATGTTTGCTGGGATTTTACTACAGATGACAAGCAGATATTATATTTTATTTCGTCTCTCTACTGTGATTTTACACTAGAAAAGACAATAACAGCCCAAATAAATTCATAGTTTTTAACCAGATTAATCACAACACAATTCTTATTCTCCCTTTCTCTCCTGGTTGTGAACTAGATTGATTGACATGGCAAACTGAATGATGCTGGAATAATGACTGGTTCGTTATTTCGTTCCAATAAGATTTTCCTGTTCGTTCTTCCACTTAACTGTTCATTTAGCCTTCCATCACAGCCCACACTCGAATCGTATTTATTTGTGTTATGGTTAGTCTTTGAAGGCAGGGAAGTCTCAGCGAACGAATATTCGATACGACTCTGTGACTGCACGTCTATTAGAGAACGATTTGTTCACTTAAAAGATTCATTCAAACCAAAACACCACCAGATGGACCATTGTTTTTTTATTTTATTTTATTTTTGTTATAGTTTACATCGTTCTAACGCACATAACACATCTCAAACAAGCTTCCTAAACTGTTAATTTGATGGAATTACTATGTTGCGCTTATTGCAGTTGTAATTAGTTGCCTTTGAAGTGGTTTCAATTGTTCTGTAAAATAACTTCGCAGAGATCTTTGATGCCAGAAATATTAGACTTTATTAACAAACAAAGCCGAGCATCTCCTGCAGGGGATCACTCCCTCCAGCAGGAGATCCCTTCCTCCTGCAGGCGAACACTCCCGATCTGTGCCCAGCTTCTCACATATATCCATACATCCTTTTCCAAAGATGGTCATACACTTATAGATAGTTTTGGGTGAAGGTCTTGTACCATGTGACTTCTCAGAATAGAATTGACATTCAGGGTCTTTTTACAGAAGGTCTTGCAGCTTTCAAAGACACATAGAGTACTTCTAGAGGACTCATACAATAAATAATTGTGTATTCTTATAAGGCTAAATTACTTGTTTTCTGAATAATAAAATCTTCAACACCTTTAAGAATTTTTGTTTAGAGGTTTTGTTTATTGTAGCTCAGTTGCACTTGCATTTTACTGGCGGTAGACTTAGGGTTTTAAGCTCATGACTGTCCCTCCCAGCTGGTGCATTTTACTACTCAGGTTGTGTTTTAATCTAACGAGCTTCCTATCTAGACAGCATTCTAGGCATCATAGACGCGTTGTTAATCCTCCTCATAGTCATAGCTGCGGTAGGGCTCAGCTTGGAACGCGTTTACAACACGCAAGTTGTTGCACGCGCCTGTGTTGCCCACAATGCTGCCTAGGTAGGCAGCTCACAAGGTTTTTTAAACTACAGCCTATGTCTCAGTTCCGCAATTTAAAGCGGTATCTGTCTCAGAATGTGAGCAGGATGTGTCATTACTGGCGTTATGGATCTACAAAGCGAGCTGCTGAAGTCCATCTGGTACGCGTTTACGTCTCTGGATGTAGAGCAGAGCGGAAAAGTGTCCAAGTCGCAACTAAAGGTCAGACCACCTGTGTACCTTTGACTTGACTCGTGTTTCAATGTGTTGTTTGCTTTAACTCTATACACGTAAAATGGCTACACTGTAAATGTGTTCAACATCTGTGGTAGTTCATTTATCAAGAGCTACATGAAAAAGTAACAGCAGTCCAAATAAGTCATGCCATATTATCCATCTCTCTTTCACACACACACACACACACACACACACACACACACACACACACACACACACACACACACACACACACACACACACACACACACACACACACACACACACACACACACACACACACACACTTACCATTTTTATTTAAATTTTTTAACAAATATGAATGTCCCCAAAAAGAGGTGTTGACAGGTTTAGCTCACTTTGGGGTACAAATATGTCCTCAAAATATGGGTATATATGGGTATAGTTACACAAAAACACCCTCATGCAGTAGTAATACATTATATCAGATAGTCTTAAAGCTTTTTTTTCTTTGTGTTATATTTTATTTATTTTTATGGATAGTGATGGGGGAATTTAATGGCATCACTGGTCTGTGAGCTTGAAAATAAATACCAAAGGACGCAGTCAGCATGCAGACAGCTTTGACAGTCTTTCTCGTGTTTAAACATGTCCTGGGTCAGCCCTTTGCTTAAAATCTCAGCATAAACAGACATGTTAGAACTTGGACTGAGAGCATTTTCTGCAAATTTGTTCTTCTTGTGTGTAAAACTATTATTGTGCGTTATATAAAGGTCAGTTGCTGATTTTGATTGTATGTCATATCAGAACAAGGTCCCATGATCATGTCAATAACTTTTATATCCAACTCATTTCACAGCTGAAGAGTGACTAACAGGTCAGCCTTTTCAAAGAACTGACTTCACTTTTCTGTGACATTTTTGCAATTACTTCTACCGAACTAGTTTCTAGGTAATTTAGGGCATACTGTTTGAAGTCAGTTCCCCTCAAGTTCACATAGATATGCATTAACATTGAATATTTTCCACTAATGGTTGACCAGAAAGTGTTTAAATGTCTTATTTTAAAAAGTAGATATTTTGTAAACATTTTATTCATTTTACTTTAAAATTGTGTTAATGCTGCCTTTCTTTAAAATAAATGCCATTCAGTTTGATATTTTATTGAATACAACATTTTTTAAGTAGGCCTAGCTACATTCTTTTGGGGCCACTGTAAGATAGCTTAGTACTTTCACATTCACTAGAATAGTGTGTGTGGTCTTGTTTATCTGCTATTGTGGCTACTGGCTGCCACAATGACACAAGATGCGTGTGCGTGCGTGTGTGTGTTTGTGTGTGTGTGCCTACCTTTGGTTGGGCCCTATGAGGAAAACGGCTTATAAATCATACTTGATGTTTGAATAAAAATGTAAAAAATGCAGAAAGTGTTCTGTGAGAGTTGGGGTTAGGGTTAGGGGTTAGAAAATATAATTAGCTCAGTATAAAACCATTACACCTATGGAGAGTCTACATAATGATATAAAAACAAGTTTGTGTGTGTTTTTCTCCACCAGGTTCTCTCACACAATCTCTATACGGCGCTGAATATTCCTCATGATCCTGTGGCATTAGAGGAGCACTTTAAGGACAATAACAATGGGCCAGTGTCCAACCAGGGCTACATGCCCTACCTCAACAAATACATCCTGGCAAAGGTCTGATAACTCTCCAGAATTACCAAAAATCTAAATTCTTTCATCATTTCCCTTGTGAAAAAGAAGTACACTTTAGCATACTTTTAAAAAGGTATTACTGAAATAATCTACTTTAGAGGAATGTTTCAGGACAAATGATTGAATGTTATTTACAATAAACTGAAAATTTATTTTATTACATTTACATTAAATGCAATTAGTTGAATGTAGGAATGCTTTTTGACCCAAGGTAGAGCTTTAGAACATTTTTAAATGTAATTTCATAATTCTGTTGACTTTGAAATATGGTTAAAGTGTACTGACAAGCATTAAAAAATAATTTCATGTATTTAAATAGATATTTATTATTTAATATATATTTAAATAGATTTGTAATTACACATTTGTAATGATGAAGTTGCAATTTAGTACATTTAAAAGATATTTACTCAAATAACACTACAGTTAAAATTATAACCAAGTACTTTACATGTACAGTACTTCAACATCAAAATAAGTGTACTTTAAAGAAAAATTAAGAATACATAACAACTTTATTCATTTGACATTATTAGTTTATGTGTTAAGCAACATAGTACACTTAAGTGGCCTTTTATTTCATTAACATTATATCTGCACATAAACTTTTAAGATTTAAAGAACACAACAAGTGCACATTCAGTCCAATTCTTTTTCACAAGGGTTCACCTGATCTCATTCATATGACACTCTTTCTGCCATGAAACAAACAGAGTAAGTTTGAAGTGTTCAAAAGCCCCTTAAAGTGCAGTACATTCTGTAATATTTCTGCGTTTGTGTTCCACGTGGGTTTGAAATGATATGCTACAAAGTAAATAATGACAGAATTATAAATTTAAGGGAAACTATATCTTTAAGAAAAGAGAAATGCTTGTTGCAATTTAATTTAATTGAACACCGAGCAATGTCTGTTGGCGAACAGTGTCAGGGAAAGTTTTCTAGGCTGCTAACACTGCTGTGTTCATTTACAGGCCACAGAGGGGACGTTTAATAAGGAAACCTTTGATGAGCTGTGCTGGACATTGACATCAAAGAAGAACTTCAAGCCCAGCACTCAGCAGCGCCTGTGTTCACAGAAAGACTGCTTCAAACTCTTCTGTCTGTTCAACCTGCTCTCAGAAGACCGTTACCCATTAGTCATCATTCAACCGGAGGTGAGAGAGAAAACAAGAAAGAGGGACAGATAGAGAGATAAGACAAGACGTAGCTGCAAATCACCATGCTGAAATGATACACACATATAACCAGACTCTGGCTGATATAAAAAATATGAATATAATAATATATGAATGTTATTTCCTGTTCAGCAAAATAATACAGATACCTCCGAACAGACTAACACATTTAGAGGTTGGATGTTTTATATGTTGAAATGACACCGCCTAATACTGGTTAGACTTTGTCCACACTAATAAAATGCCTTGTCTTATGTTTGTGAATAGCAGCAGTTTGTGATGCTTAAGTGAGAGTTAACACTTAAAATAACACTTGAGAATCCACAGTTTATTATTCAGATAGTGTTTAAGTGGTCTGAAGCTACAGTATCGTGTCACTTTTTTCATATGCATCTGTTTTAAGGAAGGAAGTGACACGAGGATTAAAACTTCATATAGATGTGGTGGTTTCCTGGTGATAACACTAGTCTATAAAGTAGATTTTTATCAAGAAACCAAATTTGAGGATATGTCGTAACTTTCATTTCTTGCTGCTTTTTGTCATATGCATTTGTGTTCTCTCATCTCGTCCCATCATTTGGTTTTCTTCAACATAGAGCTAGCATGGTTTGTTTGAAACCCCTTGAAAATACATTTTATGATCCCTTTGTATGGGTGAATCTCATGAAATCAGACAAGATTGTCATATTTCAACACAAATTCAACTATATTTTTTTCTAACCTTGAACATGAAACCTTACTTTTTTTTATATATATATTTCAGTAATGTATTAATAATTTAAAGAAAATAATAATAATGAAGTAATGCCCCTATTATGCTTTTGCGAATATTCCCTTTCATACAGTGTGTAATGTAGCTGTCTGTGAATGTAAACGCTCTGTAAAGTTGTGAAGCCGAAAGTGTACGATAAATAAAGTTATTGTCTCTCAAAGAAGGAATCGACTCTAAATCGACTAAGAATCGACGCCATTGTTACTGTCTTTACATTGTTTACAATCGCTGAGGACTGAGGAAGCCTCCTGAGCTGAAGTTTAGTTATGGTGATGGCCATTTTGTTTCCGCCAATCACAACAGACTGGGCCATCTGGCCACGCCACTCAGAGCAGAGTTGCTCGCGGAAAGGATGGATTTAGAGAGACTGATTCATCCAACGAGTCGTTTGAGAATCATTGAAAAATGTGGTGATGTGCAATGTATATTATGAGAGAATGAAAGTGTTTTTGACCTTTTGTGCGGAGATTCCAAAACAAAATTAGGAACCTTTAAAATAGCATAATCGGGGCACTTTAAAATAGGTTTTATTTTCTTTATCCAGATATATAATATATGTGACCGTACATGTTTTTTGTGAGATTCGTCCATGTCTTTAACAGCTCATCTGTAGCTGATGCTAACGTGTGAACTCTGTTAATGCCTCTGTACATTTAGTTGGAGTACCTGCTGAAGAAAATCTGCAGTACAATGAGTCTGGAGTGGGATGGGACGTTATTGGAGGAACTTTTGTCCCAGAATGTTGATCTTCAGGACGGCATGTCAGTGTGGGAGTTCTTGGAACATTTGAGTGCAGGCCAGCTTTTGCATGTTGAGTGTAAGGAGGCCTTCAGTCTCGCTGTGGATGAAGTTTTCATGGAGATGTACCACAACACCATCAAGAAGGTGACTGATGCTTTGCCTGCAGCACACTAGGTTGATGCAGTATTAGGAATTGGCATCTAATAATGGGAATCTTAGTAAATTAATGCAATCGTTTAAACAAACATCTGCAACTACTGATTCTGTCTGACTCTTTGCACTGCAGCATGGTCCTTCACTTCCTGCATTGTGTAACAGATGGCGCAACTTTTTACAATAATTTGATCTCAAGTCTTTTAATCACATTCTATCTTTTTCCTATTCACTTTATCCATCAGGGTTACTTGTTAAAGAAGGGGCACGTTCGCAGGAACTGGCAGGAGCGCTGGTTTGTTTTAAAGCCCAGTAGCCTGACGTACTTTGTCGGCGAGGACCTGAAGGAGAAGAAAGGAGAGATCCTGCTGGAGGAGAACTGTGTGGTGGAGGTAAATGAGCAAGTGTATTCCACTGTAAAATAAAGGTATCATAACTTTCTCATACCTCATAACTGTCATCACACTCAGAATCTCCCTGATAAAGAAGGGCGGCGCTGCCTGTTCTGTGTGAAGACCTACATCAGGACCTATGAGATGAGTGCTTCAAACCTGAAACAGAGAGTAGACTGGGTACAAGGTGAGGATCCATTATTTGCAGCACCGCTGCTTTCTTGTCGAAGTGTCCTGGTTTCTTGAGGGATGATGTCCCGTGTTTTGTAGCCATCCAGACGGTGTTGAGATTGAGGGCCGAGGGTAAGAGCTCTCTACATCAGGAGCTAAAATTGAGCAGACGCAAGCAGAGAGAAACCTTTCAGAGAAGCCACAGCAACAACAGTGAACCCATAGCAGATGAGGTTTCGCAGCACTCCGCTTCGGAGCAGCAGGGGGAAACCGAGAGATTGGAGCAACACATCGAGAACATCATTCAAGTAACTGATTTAATGCTATCAGATTACTCTTAGCACATCTGCAGTTTATAGCATGTTTACTGTGTGCAGTATGCACATTTTGATATGCCTACATTTCCTAAAAGGGGCACTATACAATATACAGAAGCATTGGTTTACAACCAGGGGCCTTCAGCAAATTTCTAAGCGGGGCTTAAATTAATAGATTTATTTTAATATATTAAAAGTAATTTAAGTCTGATCTAAATTAAAATGCTACAAATAAACCACAACCATTATTTTATTGAAGAACACAGTTATGGAATACAGAACATAATTACAAAATTGATTGATTTGATTTGAAAATCAATCGTGGTAATTTATTTAATATATTAAATTAAATCGCCACGTTAAATAATCAATATATCCGTGTACAATTTTGAAAACAAGCAGCTTTGTCATAATTATGACAAAGCTGGGTGAATTATGGGTGAATATAGCACAATGTTGTATCCCACAATGCAATGCATTTGACATTAAAAATGCCACGTGTCGATCATAAACCATAACCATGCGTGTTCTGTTTCACATACTATTTAAAAAAAATAGTTGGTTGTGTAAAGTGTGTACTGTGCAGTATTGAGTAAGTAGTAAACATAGCCTGTGGTACTTTGTTTGTTCCCCAGAAACAGAGGGAGGTGGAGGCAAAACATAAAGAGGAAGAGAAGCAGGAGCGAGAGAAACAACAGACAGTACAGAGAGATCTGGAGAGACAGCTCGAAGAAACTAAAGAGGTGAGATAAAGAGAGAGAAAAAAATGTCCATCCTGTTTTGTTAATGTGTTGTCACACTACATCTGTTTCTCATTGCATATTTTAACACATTCATGCACTTGTATTGCTGACAAATCCACATTTTCAGCATCAATACTCCAGTCTCCAGTGTCACATGAAAAAATCATTATAGAAATAGTCCTTTAGAAATCATTCTAACATGCTGATTTGCTGCTCAAGAAACATTTCTAATTATAAAAAAAAAAATCAGGATTATATATCATAAATATGTATTTCTTTGAGTTAGCAATCTTTTGTAACATTACACATTTCTTTACTGTTCACTTTTGATTAATCTAATGCATCCTTGTTAAGTAACTTACTAAGCCCAAACTTTTGAACGGTAGTGTAAATCAGTCTTCAAGATGCAACAACATTATAATGTTAGAAACAGTAGTGATAAAGTTGATGGTGTTGGTGCTTGCGTAGGCCAAGGAGAGGATGACAACTACATTGACTGAGATGGAGAAAGAAGTACAGCAGCAGAAGAAGAGGATCCATGAATTAGAACTCACACAACTTAAACTGGAGGAGGCGCTCAACGCTCAGATTCACGCCCGTTTAGAAGAAGACCAAGTCCGACTGGAACTAGAGAGGTACCGTAAATCTCAAATTATTTCATTTTATTCACACCATCCCCAACACATATGGAGACTGTTGTATTAGGACAAGAAACACACTCTCAATTGTTTTCATTTATACCTGCAGGCAGCTTGCAGAGGAGCAGAACGCCCGTTTAGAAGAAGATCGAGTCCGACGGGAACTAGAGAGGTACCGCAAATCTCAAATTATTTCATTTTATTCACATTCCACACCATCGCCAACACATATGGACACTGTTGTATTAGGACAAGAAATGCATTTTTAAGTGTTTTTATTTATACCTGTAGGCAGCTTGCGGAGGAGCAGAAGAAACTTGCAGAACTTCTCCTCCTCCAAAGTCAGCTGGAAACTCCTGCTTTTAAGATTCAGGATGACACCCCCACCGCAACACGTCCCATCAATCAGCAACCAGAGGAGAGCAGTCAACACAACACAGAGGTGAGAGACAAGGAACAACGGGAGTTGGTGTGAAGACAAAGATAGTAAAGGGACAGCATATTTTGTAGGGTCGGTGAAATCAAAAAACCTTTCGTCTTTTGTAGCGTTTTATATTTTGTTCCATTTATAGTGAAAGACAAGAGTTGCGTCCCAAATGACACTCTATACACGTATACACTATGTACTCATGCACTATGTACTCAACCATGTGGTGTATGCATTTTATAAGGTTATTTTGTCATTCGCTGTCGGAGTCTGATGCCCCTCCGCGACAGTTGAGTGCATGAAGTGTCCAACATTCCACACTTCGTTCTTTCTGTTATTTAAGGGCATTTTCACACCTGAAAGTCCGCACCAAGGTCCGAACCAAAGTTCACGTTTTGATACATTTTATACTTTCAGAAAGTTTTGGTTTGGTTTCACACTGCAATTATGCGAGCGCACTAAAGAACTTTACGTGACATACTTGCGTCCTGTCGTCATCATCTATGTGGGCTGCATCTTGACATTGATTGGTTTGTAAATGGACGTGCGTCTGACGTCAGCGTGTTGTCAATTCGGCGGGTAACTTTAACAACATGAATGAACAGATGCATATCGTTGCAACTATATTGTCATTTTTATGGCATAATTACCTGCAGCACCAACTATACACAAGGCTAGTTCAAATTCGCCAAATGAACGTCCTCGTCGTGCGAACATTTTATCAAATTGACTTCTTATTATGTCATCAGACCATACTTCAATTAAAAACCTCGTCTCCTCCTCTCCCCATGTGCTACCACGGATAATTTTTCCTGCCACCTTTTGTTTTTTCGGCTATGCGGGAACCACCGGAACTTCCTGTAAAAGCTCTGAAAGTCCGAACCATGCAGAAACGAACCACACTAGAAACGAACCAAACCTTTGTTCAGTTTGATCCGGACCGAGACTACCTCTTTTCGTCGGACCAAATTTCATCTGTTTGATCCGGACCGTGGTCCGGGGTAGGTTTCACACCTGTAATTTTGATTCGGACCAAACTGAAAAGTCCGAAAGTCCGGACCAAACAAGGTAGGTGTGAAAGGGCCCTTAAGTGCATTATCCAGGTATTTAAAGTACAAAGATTGGGGTCAATATTTTTTGTATAAGTACTCTCAAGCTCACCAAGGCTGCAATTAATTAATCAATAATACAGGGAGAATAGTAATATTGTGAACTATTATAACAATTTAAAATAGCCATTTTACTCCAGTCTTTAGTGTCACATGATCCTTCAGAATTTATTCTAATATGCTAATTTGATGATTAAGAAACATTTATTATTATTATCAATATTATATTAGTATTATTTCTGTGGAAAACATAATAAAAACAATTCAGGATGAATGGAAAGTAAAAAAAAAATGAATTTATTTTAAACTAATCCACAGTAGTAAAGTAGTAAATAAGTTTCCTTGCTGAATAAAAATGTACTTTTTTTTTTCAAAGAAAAAAAAACCTTACCCTAAACTTTTGAATAGTAGTGCATGTCATCACAGATGACGTCACACCAAGTTGGAATATACAGAATTGTCAATAAGATTTTGACCAAATTTTGATTTTTTGTTGTATTCTTCCTTTAAACAGGCTGTTTTGCTCCTGTATCTTTGTGTGTGAATGCCTTTTTATGATTGGCTAAAGTCCATGTGCCTATACAGTTCACACAGTATTTTAGATCAGGGCAGGTCTGAATGAGCTTCACATAAAAGCAATTAGCTTTTTATGATTTAACGCAAGGATTGCTTAGCTGGACCGCCCATATTCTAATTACAACTTGTTTAGTAGTTAATTAACAAATGGCTTTTATTGCATAAAAGGAGGCACTTATCCATGAATCGACTTCCACTGGCGTACCACCCAGCATCCAGCAACCACAGGAGAGCAGTCAACACAACATGGAGGTGAGAGATTAGAAAAGTGTGGGACTAACTAAAAAGGGCTATTTGAGTGCTACATGAATGACACATCACATCATGTGCTATTACTTTAAGTGTTCAGACTTTCAAACAATTTCTATACAGAGAGAATTGATGAGTCAGTCCACTTCCACTCAGATGATGAAACACTGGACAATTCAGCTCAACCGCCTCATGAAGCCCATCGCACCAGGAGGTAACATACAATCTCACTCAAATATTTCTATGACCCGAATAGTGTTCGGTTGTCACGTGAGAATGAAATAAACAAGATGCGTTCTGTTTGATCATATCTGCACAATCATAAATGGCTTTTACAATCATTGTTCTCTATTGCTCTGCTTATTCACAGACAAAGGCGAGCATCTGCCAGTAAAGCCCACCTGTCCCAGACAGGGCCAGGCCCTCACTAGCACAGAGTTCATTGCTAAGGTTCAAACAGGCGTCGGTCAAGAAAAAGGAAATGGTTACAACCTAGCACCACCAGAAGAAGAGGAAGAATAGGGTTCCTATATTTGTGTTCCTACTGTATATGTATAATATTGTACATGTTTTGTGCAGCAGGCTTGCCCTGTGTGTTTGAGTTTGGCTGCAAAAGCACCTCACAGATCATATATGTACATACTGATCAGCTTGTTCATTATGTTCTAAGTAATATACACAAAATGAATAGTAAATATATATTTCGGCAGCAGTCAGCCAGGTGCTTTTAAGTCTTTAAATCAGCATTTTTGACTGTCCCATTTCAAGGCTCCCCGTTGATAAAGTATTTGAGCCCCCCATAAACTATATTAATATTACACTCAATTTAGATGATATTTATGGTTATTAAAAAATAAATAAAATATTTAAGAACTTGACATAACTGGGAAAAAAATGTATATTCATTATGAAAAGATTGTATTCATCCCTCATACTGAATATCCAAGACTGTGAAAATCCTGTTTATAAATAAAAATGAGGTAACAAATTAGACTGAGAAATATTATATCAGCTTATATCTTGTTTTATTTTTTTTTGTTATTTTAGCTTATTTTAATGCTTGTTTTGTCTCGTTTTAAATTACATTGAGAAGTTCAGAACCCATTGCTTTAAATAATAATACAGTTCATTCACAATCATTTTTGTGTTTTTGTCACGGTGTGTAATTCTTTGTGTGGTCAGTAGAGGGGGAGCTTGTTCTGTGGCTGTTAACAAACCAAACCAATCAATAGATTTTTTTTCTCTCTCTTTATCCCGCCCCTGCCTTACAGATCAGGGGACAGGATCCAAAAAGTCTGAGAAGCCAATCAACTTAATTTTAAAATGGACTGACCATGTCTAAACAATTAGGACACCACCTTTTTGCTTAAAAGTGAAAAGAATCATGCAGTCTATTTATAGATCCGTGGAGGCCAGCAAGAGAGTACAGTTGAGTTTGTGGCTTTGAGGCTTCTGTTGAGAATGAATAATGGTTCTCTCTGTTAGTTTTGGGTGGTCATCAACAGACTGACTGTAAATGATATTTTTGAAAAGTTGTGGCCGTGATTTTTCCAGATACAGATCTTTTCCCCTTATGGTTTGGAGGGTTTCTACCTGTGGGTGTAGAGATTTGAGGTTGTGACGAGAGGAATTGTCAGGTCCAGAGATCAGGAAAAATAAATGGAATACTTAAGCCTTTGTTTCACTACTTTTGTACTAGTTGGATGGATCCGTCTGCCATTTAACAATTTAATCCCCATATAATGTTTATCTCATTAAGCTTGTTTTTTTGCCAAATTTAAAAGGAAGTTCACTGAGAAGTAAACGGCAAGGTGGAAACCTTTAATGGAAGTTGCAACAGATGTATATATTTTTTTGTATTGTGATATACAGTTGTAATCAAAATTATTCAGCCCTCATCAGGTTTATTGGCAAAATTTTGAGCCTTTCAGCTGTTTGCAATGAACAAATCAAACAAAAGTAATTGAAATAGCTCAACACAACAAATGTTTCAAGTGGTTTCCCCAAATTCAACTGAAAATGCAACTTTTAATGACTTCTGCACATTATTCCACCCCTTCATGGCAAGCATCTTTAGTATTTAGTAGAACACCCTTTTGCTGTTATGACCTGCTGCAAACGATATGTATAACCAGACACCAGATTCTGGCAGCGTTTCTGAGGAATCTAGCCCATTCGTCATGAGCAATGGCCTCCAGTTCAGTAATATTCTTGGGTTTGCGTGCTGCAACCGTTTCCTTCAAATCCCACCAGAGATTTTCTATGGGGTTCAAGTCAGGTGACTGTGATGGCCACTGTAGAATCTTCCAGGACTTCTTCTGCAACCAAGCCTTGGTGGAATTTGAGGTATGCTTTGGATCATTGTCCTTTTGAAAGGTCCAATGACGCCCAAGCTTCAGCTTCCTCACTGACGGCATGACGTTTTCTCCTAGGATCTCCTGATACTTCAATGAATCCATCTTGCCTTCAACATGCAGTTTTCCATTGCCGACTTTTCCTGTGCTTTTGGATCAGTAGTGGTGTAGTACGGCATGTTTTTTCGAGCCCGTTCTCATCCTTTGGCGTCATATAGGTGACGCCATATGACATTTCGTTGAAATACTACGCACATGGCACCCTTTAGCGTGAATATAACACGCAGAACCCAAGGCGTCATACTCGTTACTGGCATCCTTTAGCGTCAATATGAGACGCAGACCCTACCCCAGACCTAAACCTACCCATAACAGTGCGTGTTATATTCACGCTAAAGGGTGCCATGTGCGTAGTATTTCAACGAAATGTCATATGGCGTCACCTATATGACGCCAAAGGATGAGAATGTGTTGGTTTTTCTGAACCTGGCTTCTCAGAAATCTGGTTGCAGCCATTGATAGCTTCCTTTTTTCTGCCCTGTCCAGGTAGTGTAACCACTGTTCCTTTAACTTTGAACTTGCGAACTATACTTCCAACGTTGTCTCTAGGAACATTTGAGTCCCTTCGCTATCTTTTTGTATCCTGTTCCTTGTTTGTGAAGGGCGATGATATCTTATTTGAACTTTTTGGACTATTCTTTTAACTATTTATCTAACATGCAGTCAAACGTGACACTCAACAAACCTAGCTAGTTCAGATATCACATGTGTTCGAGCTCAAGCACACCTGGTGCAACTAATGAAGCACTTGAATAGTTGCACCAGGTGTGCTTGAGACAACACCTGTCTTGCAGATTTGTGCTGTTGTGAGGGATTCTATTCAGGGGGTTGAAAAATTGAGACTGCAGAAGTCATTAAAAGTTGCAGTTTCCGTTGAATTTGGGGAAAACGCTTAGCAACCTTTGTTGTGTTGAGATATTTCAATTACTTTTGTTTGATTTGTTCAATACAAACAGCAGAAAGTCTGTAAATTTTGCCAATAAATCTGATTTGCAATGGGGGTTGAATAATTTCAATTACAACTGTAAATCTAAGTAAAATGGATTATTAAAACAGAAATAAATGTAAGGCGGGGATTTGGGTTGTTGATTGGATGGGGGCAGATCTGAATGCCAGCATGCAGTCGATTGTAAGAAAGGGGTAGGGTTTACACAGATTCAATGATTGGTCAGGTCTTGCATACATCACTAGAGGCCAACTTTACTTTCAATCCCAGAAATTGGGGTGGACAATTTTGGTTATTTTGTTGAGACAGCAGATATTTGAGGTTGTTATCAGGGCCTTAAGGCAGTGCAACTTTTTCCGCATGAGGCCCCGTGGGTAATTGCCTCAGGGAGAAACGGATCCCAATTAAACGGTAATCACATTATAGAGCAGTAGAGTTTTTTGTGCTTTTATAATGTGTAATGACACAGATATGTTGTGTTTTACACAATAATGTGAGCGATATTTCCTATCCGACACTCTCAATATTGCGACTATTGTAGAAGGAGCCTCCTATTGGAGTGAGACCATGACAGGATATATTATAATGTGTCTCCTGCAAGTCTGTCAATGAAAGCAATACTTCACTGCACCCAGCTGCTTCCCATGAGGAAGTGTTTTATGAGAACCATATTAGAGCAACACACATCCCCACTTCTATAATATTTCTGCAAGCGTTTAGCTGCCGTGCAAAGTGATCATTGATTTAGCACATATTTATCTGCTCAAGGACACCAGATACATTTGGAGTGGTGGAGGGGAACGTTTTCGGCTGGCCCTGTAAGCCATTAAGCACAGTAGATGCTTTCAGTTGGCTTCTGTCTCTCATGATCAACGACTCTGTTTTAGGGTCTGGTAGCGGCAATACCCCATTTATGTATTAGCAGCGGGTCCACCCTTAACCCGAGGATATATGTCTGATACACAACCACCTGTAATTATATTCTTCATGCAAGACCAACTTCCTTCAGTGCATTTCCCAGGCCAGAAAAAACACGAGATGAACCACAGAATGGAAAGCCAGTGACCCAAAATACTCTGGCACTTCAGGAGATTCAAAGGGGAACTCGGGCCTTTTGTTGTTTCAGCTGGAACACTTGTCCCCACATCTTGTTTATGAAAAAAAAACTGGAACGATTGATGTCAAAGTCCTTTGAACGTTTGATTCAGATGAATGGGTGTCAGATGGCCTGGCTTATAATGGTCTGGATGATCTCATTCTTGAAAGGGGACATCAAGAAAGTTACATCATGTAATAATGTTTAGGCATCATCACAAACATTCGGCCTGTCCTCTCAAGATGAGAATCAATCAGCACAACCTTCACAGAGTGTTTTTCAGAGGAGCACGAGTGATGGCATAAAATCAGAACTCAAAAAATGTATTCGTATGTCTTTGGATCCGTTCTCTAATGCCACAGTTTCAATTCAAGTCAAGTCATCTTCATTTATATAGCGCTTTTAACAAAGGATTGTTTCAAAGCGGCTTTACAGTGATAATAGGAAATTAAAGTAACAGAGATTGTTTCGGTTTTATAGCAGCTCTAGAATAAAGTTATTTTCCAGCTAAAGTTTTGATTGATTCACTTCCGTTGCAACGATCATTAGTTATTAACTTAGGGGCCGCTAACACGACACCGTTTTACAGAAAACTCTTAAGTTCTCTCTATGCAAATTTCAAAAACGTGAACCCGTGAGAACGCCGATGGCGTGCACACGCGTATTAAGAGCCCGCTCCACAGGTGCGTTTGAATATATGTGCGCAGGCATGTAGTCCTTCCCTTAAAAAAACAACCCTCAACAAACTACTTGTCTGGCCTTAAAATTTATAATACAGAATTTTTAACGGCGTAGCCATGCAAACCGGAACTATCCCGACAACGCTTTATCTGTAGAGAGGTAAGGTATGGGAGGGAGGCCTTCACAGGGGAGGGACTCGTTGACACTTTAGGACATTGCATTGTCGTCGCGTCCAGAAGCAGGTCCTTTATCAAATCTGGATACGGCGGACTGCGGTAAACCTCGGGATAAACAGAGAGAGACTAATATTAGCGTAGATGCCATTCTTAATATGATGTAATGAGTAGGCTACATCAGGATTTATGGGAAGTGTTCCCGGTTTCGGCTGACCTAATCTATGCAGCCTAAATTGAATTATAGAAGTCTATAGTGTGTTATGTGTATGCTAGGTCAAAGAGATGTGTTTTTAGTCTAGCTTTGAACTGACAGAGTGTGTCTGCTTCCCGGACAATGTTAGGAAGACTGTTCCAAAGTGTTGGTGCTAAATAGGAAAAGGATCTACCGCCAGCAGTCGATTTTGATATTCTAGGTATTATCAACTGGCCGGAATTTTGAGAACGCAATAGACGTGAAGGACTATAATGCGTTAAGAGCTCGCTCAAGTACTGTGGAGCTAAACCA